ATATGTATTTAATTAATTACTAAATTAAACATTTGTAATGTTAAAATATATTCTACTTAAAAATAAATAAATGCTGTTCTTTTCAACTTCATATAAGAATCCTGGAAAAAAAATGTTTCCACAAAATATTAAGGAGCAAAAACTGTTTTTAACGTAAGAACCAATATTAATAACTGAGCACCAATAATAATTTAGAAGCAGCTTATTGGAATTATTTATGAAGGATCATGTGATATTGAAGATATTGGAGTAATGATGCTCAAAATTCATCTTTGCATCACAGAAATAAATTACTTTTTAAAATATATTGAAATAGAAAATAGTTATTCCAAATTATAATAGTATTTCATAATATTACTGTTTTTACTGTATTTTTATAAAATAAATGCAGCCTTGGTAAGCATTAGATTCATTAAAAACATTCAAAAACCATAATGTTTCCAAAAATTTGACAGGTATATGCAAATAATAAAATGCTTAAATCTACCATGCATAGTTTGGTTAGAAAAGTAAAAAGAAATATATATTCTAACTCGTCGCTTCCACTGTTAACATTCTAGTTAATGCTGTGGCATAAAATGTCACTCTACATTATATGTAGAAGAGCTAAATAGACTGTGTGATTACACGGCTGTGTAAATGCAGTGAGAGTATAACAATGAGAAGATTACAGATGTGCTGATGAAGATAGTCATGAGCTATTGTGTGGGTCGGGAGTGTGCAGCAACTCATATCCATTAAAAAGATGCTCCTCTTTTTGTGTTTCCTCACTCCTGCACTGAGGTTCTGGCTATTTCTGTCCTCTGTGATTCCCATGGTAACCAGCGTGAAGCTGAGCATCGCGGAGATTTCAGCGTGACCTCGGCTCCTCGCTGTCAGTGTAGCGGTTGACTGCGGCAGCACCCTATTGTCTCAGAGACAGAGCAAAGCGCTTCACCCCATTTATGGTGCAGAGAAACCCAGGCAGTCAGCAGCTCTTTGTCGCGATCTCACTATGATGGCTGTATTTTGACTGTTGGACAAGAGACAAGAGTGTCATGCCCACCCACTTCTGACGGCTGGCGTGTGGTCCTCTCCTGTTCGAGAAAAAGCACAGAGGCTTTCACAACATCTGTGAGAGGAGTACAAGAACTGTGAAGGTTCATTCAGATAGACCTTCTGCTTTTTGTCCTTTCCTCCACCCAAACGCTTTACAGGAGCTTTGTTTCACTCTAAAACCACACAATAGTAATATTTTCTGCCATTTTTCATAAACGGACAGAGGTTGATACTTCTAATACAAGTGATGGGTAAAGATAATTGGTGTCATACATGTATGTACAATATTGTTTAAAAGATTAGGGGCGAAAAGATTTTTAAATGTTTTTCTTTAAGGCTGCATTTATTTGAACAAAATAAAGGAAATAGTAATATTGTTTCTATTTAAAATAACACACACACACACACACACACACACACATATATATATATATATATATATATATGTAATTTATTCCTGTGATGTAAAGCTGAATTTTCAGCATCGTTACTACAATCTTCAGTGTCACATGATCCCTCAGAAATCATTTTAATATGCTGATTTACATCTAATATGCTGAAACATTTTTTAACTTTAACATTTAAAAAAAAAAAAAGTATTTTTAGGATCCTCTGATGAATAGAAAGTCAGAAACAACAGTATTCATTTGAAATAAATATTTTGTAGCTATGTAAATGTTTACTGCCACTTTTGAATAATCAACGCATCCTTGATGAATAAAAGTGATAATTTCTCTCTCAAAAAATAAATAAAAACATACAGACCGCTAGGGCTGCACAATTAATCGGAATTAAATCGCAAAGGCAATAAATCGCGATTAGGCAGAAGCTGCGGTTGTCATGCGTATCTTTCAGTGAAGCACAGTTCTGTGATCAGCAGTAAATCTCCATCCGAAGGCCAGAGGGCACTCTCGCGCTGAAAATCCAAATATGCCCCGAAGAAGAAATCCAGGAAATGCCTATCGCTGCAGCTAAATAAACAGAAGATTTAACTGCTTTCATTGATTCAGCGTGATTAATAAACTCACGACTACGGCAATATATGGTTTATCTGAGTTATTATTATTATTATTATAATTTTCATCATAATAAAGTATATCTATAATGAAATGCTAATCGACATAGCCTTTATCACTGCTTAGAATACAATGAAATATTGTGTGCTTTAATTATTCTGTTTCAGAAGCCACATCATCCCACAGAAGGATTTATTTCAAACACTTGACTGACGTTATGAAGTGAGTTTGGAGTAAAAACATGTTATTAAATGTGGTATTTTCACGTGCTCTCAGATGGAGCAGCATTTACTACACAGAGCCGTAATTCACTGAGAAGATACGCAAACAGCTGTCCTTATCGCGAACGATTTCGTCGATTTCATAATCGATAAACGGTTATGAACGCGATTTTGCATAGCTTGTCAGAGAACTAGGCTCTGTGTAGTAAATGCTGCTCCATCTGAAAGCAGGTGATGGAGATTTACTACTAATCACAGAACCGGCTTTACTGACAAAATGTGCATGACAATCGCTATCAAATCCCTACAGACCACCAACTTCTGAACAGTAATGTATATGGTTTGAGTGCTTGACATCAACCACAAAAATGATTTTCCTTCCCCTTTAAAAGTGTATTTATTTTTCTAACCAAACTAGTTTTAACATTTTATTATTTGCATTAAACATTGTTTTCATTAGAACAGACCTCTGACCCTTCAGTTGAGAATCGCTGGCCTCAGAGGTCAGCTCATGTTGTAGACAAAAGCTTTAGAAATGGATTTTCCTTAGACCCGTGATTCATGTGTATTGCTTTTAAATACAGTAATTAAACCCTTTCACTTCTTAAAGCAAAGTCCTTCTATTCTTTCTGCACTTTCTGTAGGTCTTATGTGGAGGTGGAGGGCCTATTGAACTGCTCTGATGTTTATACAATAGTCAACAGGAAACTGACATTTATGTCACAGTATCTGCGCTGGAACTGACAGTTCTCAGTTCTGACACACTCAGCTGTGTGTTGTTTAAATGCTGAATGAAGTTTGTCATTTGCTCTGCTTTATTTCTGCAGGTTTAGTCCGGTGAGTGAGAGCGCTCCTGTCGGGACGCCTGTGGGAATGATTCTGGCCGCAGCCGTCAACACCACTGTCTTTTACTCCATAGTGAGCGGAAATGAAGGAGGTGAGTTTTCACTCTGAAGAGAATTCCCTAAACCTGTGTGCAAATGTGATTCTTTGACACAAAACGGAATAAAATGTAGAACTAAGCAGCGCATTGTTTTCCTGGTTGAGTTGGACTGCAGATGATTAGTGAATAAGATACAACCCTGAATTACTAGTCATCATTGGAGTTAAAGGCGCTGTGAACCGTTCTCTGATCAGTTTGTGTTTGCAGGTGAGTTCATGGTCAATAACCGCACTGGGATCATCTACACAAATAACCTTCTGGACTACGAGAGCGTGACCAGTTATGTGCTCCGCGTGCAGGCCGACTCCCTCGCTATCATCCTCGCCAGTCTGCGCGCTCCCTCCAAAAGTAAGAACAACACTGAAGCACACTTCATCTTTTCTAAGAATTTTATTTGAGGACTTTACAGCTTTAGAGTGAAATAAATGACAGATACAAAACATTTTATGCTGATATATATACAGACACATATGACCACACATTTCAAATGAAATTCTAAACCTCATGAAAACCTGACATTATTTTTCTTTTTTATCATATTTGGGGTGAAATAAGAAATTGAAGCCAATTTTTAAGACTATTACAATTTTTTAATGGAGACGTTATTTTCATAACCATTAAGCACATTACCCTCCATATGCATATTACTATAATGCATTCTTTACAAAAATCTTTTGTAATATTATAAATGTCTTTATTATCACTTTTGATCAATTTAAAGCATCATTGCTAAATAAAAGTATTAATTTCTATTGCAAGTGTATAATGTTAGAAAAGCTTTTTATTTCAGATACAGTAAATGCTGATTTTTGGATCTTTTTATTCATCAAATAATCCTGAAAAAATGTACTGAACTGTTTTAAATAATAATAATAATAATAATAAATGTTTCTTGAAGCAGCATAATAGAATGATTTCTGAAGGATCATGTGACTGGAGTAATGATGCTGAAAATTTAGCTTTGATCACAGGAATAAATTGCATTTGAAAATGTATTCAAATAGAAAGCAGTTATTTTTATTAGTAAAAATATTTCACAATATTACTGCTTTTGGATAAAATAAATGCAGGCTTGGTGAGCAGAAGATAATTCTTTGGAAAAAAAAAACATAAAAAATCTGACTGGTAGTGCATTTGTTTTTAGGTATGAGGTTTAGCCGTTAAACTAATTTACATGATTTCTTTATTTAAAATGTTGATTTGTAATCATAAAGAGCCTCGCCTACTACATTATTAAAATAGGATAATGAAACTGAACTTGCTATTTGGCAAAATATTAGTTCATTATTGTAACTGGTTATTGTTATTTATTGTTTAAAATAATAACAGCAATAGGATAAACCACAACCTTTAATTATGGAAATGTCACTGTACTGCAGATCACCAGCTCTCATGCATGTGCTGAATCTCAGTTAGAGCAGGAGTTATTGGAAAGGTCATAAGTGTAGAGCTCATGCAGTTTATTGAGGTTGAAAGATAGACAGCACAGGTAGAGCAGAGCACATCTCCCTCTTCCTGTGAGAGGTCTGATCTTCCTCCAGCGGTCTGTGTACATTAAAACTGCATAGATGTGTGCTGAAGGACGAGAGCAGAATACAGCTCAGATCGCTTTAAGATGAACACAGAAACACACACGCATACATTGAATTACAAAGCAATGTTAATGAAATGCATCCATTTTAGAGGAGTGGCTTTTTGTGTGTGGCTCTATGTGCTTATTTTACACCCTTTTGTGGTCTTACTGTGTACGATTTTTCAGTGCATGCCCAAAATCTAATAACTTGCTCTGCCTCTGAAACAACTTTTTATTATTGACAGTGTCAACTTTTAATTTAAAACCCTGATTTGATCGTGCTTTCAGTTGTCAATAAAAGTGTTGTATTCTCAGTCCAGTTTGAAGAGGTGATTCCCTGCTGGCAAGATTTGGGTTTTAATAAAAGGTCTGGGTTTTAATAAAAGTTTTCTGTCTATGCAGCAGAATTGTGTTTTTTTTTTTTTTATCTGTGCTACATGACTAGAGAAAACAGAGACAAAGGGACATACATGACAAAAAAAACACATTGTTTATATACTAACCTACATTGTAACAATACAAAGCTGGTTGAAATTTGGCAAACTTTAACACATTTAGGCTTTATCCATTCTGCAGATTTCCTCCCAAAATTGAGTGGGAAATGTTTTCTGGTCCTGCAAATGACAAAGTATAATGTCCACTGGGATATGTCGAGTAAAGAGGCTTCCTAAAAATGTGGGTGTTTCAGTAGATTAATAGGAGTCTTCCAAAACTGATTGCAAACTCAAAATCAGGCCCATATTTCACGATTCAATCAAATCCCAGTGGATGCAAAAATCCCGTCCTACATTTTTTGTTGTTGTTGTTCAATGTGTTTCTCATTGAATATTCACTCAGAGATAAGCCACATTACAGAAATAAAATGGGTTGCAAACTCCATTTCATGTTAAATTTAAAGTTCATTGAGCACATCACAAGCCTTTGATAGGAAAACTGTACAAATCACAAACATGAGAGAGAGAGAGAGTGTGTGTGTGTGTGTGTGCATTTGTCCTGCCATGTGTCTTGTTTTAACTTTGATGTAAATTTTGTTGTACATAACAGGACTGGCACACCTTCTCTCTCTCGCTTCCCCACCTGTTTTTCTTTTCTTCATTTCTTTCTTTTCTCTCTTATTAAGCTATGATATACAGCTCTTCATCTGCGCTTTCCCCTGTGTGTGCTTAGATCTACACCAGATGACTTTATATATTGTCGTTTAGTGCAGCAGAAGACAAATGTTTTCTGACAGAGCATATTTCTAACGTCTGCCACAGCGTGGAGGAGGGTTGCAGTGGCTGCGTGTGTTTACATTAACACTGGCTTTTTTATTCAAACTGTGACAAATAGGGATTATATTTCCATAAACTAAGGTCTGTTTCTTCTGTGTGCGTGTGTGTGTGTTTAAATATAACTAGCGAACACGGCGAAGGTATTTATCGACGTGCAGGATGAGAATGATCATCCTCCGGTCTTCACAAGGTCTCTTTATATCGGAGGAGTGACTGAAGACACTAAGACCTTCACCACAGTACTGAAAGTTGTGGTGAGTATATGTGTTATTTATTCCTAGGCAGCAGTGTAGGAACGAACTGAAATGTCATGTGGGCACATTATAAACCTTAGGCTGGAATCATGAATATTAATTAGGTGACATAACGCTCACCCTATAGTCCTGACTGATTTGTTGAAGGGAGGCAAGTGGGCACTTGCCATTGACAAAACAAACATTTGGTCTTTTTTTACTTATGCTAATGTCAGCCTTTGTGAAGAACACAAAAAGAGAAATTTTGAAGACTGTGCACATGTTTTGCAATGGCAGATTGTAGGGACCAAAAACGGACAAAACACTATAAAAATAGTTCATATATACTACATTTTACGTTTTTAAAATATGTTTATTTACTCGTAATCTCTGAAATACCTCTGAAATGTAATATGAAATTGTATTCAGCTTCTAAAATGTCCAGGTTTAGCAAGAGTTCAGATATGCAGGATGGAGGCATAACATTTTTTTTTTATTTCCTTCTTTGTTCCACAGAGAAATCTATAAGCGTAAACGTTTGAACCAACTTAATGAATAATAATTGAAGATTCATATATCATATACTGTACATTTGAAATAGTTTTGAAAAAATCTTATGCTTACTAAGGATACATTTGTTTATTTAAAAATACAGTGGGGCAAAAAAGTATTTAGTCAGCCACCAATTGAAACAGTAATATTGTAAAATATTATTGCAATTTAATTTTAATATATTTTAAAATGTAATTTATTCCTGTGGTGCAATACTGAATTTTCAACAGCCATTACTCCAGTCTTCAATGCCACTTGATACTTCAGAGATCATTCTAATTTCTAAATTTGTTTAAACTTGCCTCTAAATATGGCATTGCATTAACTGTAGAATCATAATATTAAATATGATTTGTTGTGTTTTCAAATTTAGAGTGGTAGTGCTGTTAAGCACAATACCAGCAGAATACACTGGAACAATAGTGATTCATGGGGTTTGAAATGTTCTGCTGGTGTTGGTGTCTGCAGTACATTATATTTCATTTTTACAGTGAAGAACATGCTGTTCACATCCTGACACACCTGTCAACACTAGAGTACAATCTCTCTCTCGCTGTTCAAATCTGCTCACCTCCCCCCACATCTTAGTAACTGTGCTTAGACAGTTTCTTTCTCCATTCGGACAATGTGGAAGACAAGTGACGGACCCCTGTAAAGTACCCACCGGGATCTGTGTGTTAGGCTACCGCAAGGTGACCGTTATCTCATAAATTGAGTCTTTTAACAACTATAAAAAGCATTAAGGCATACAATCTGATGATATATGGGGATTATTACATTTCTAGGTCATCACTGAAGTGGAAGCTGTGGAGCTTTTGTATTTAATTCTCTATTTCTTCCAGCAAGGCTTTTGAAGTGATAGTTCGGTCAAAATGTTTGTTTTTTTTTATTACATTTAAAGTATTCTAGTCTCTAGTTCTTTTATATAACCAGTAGTTCTGTCGATTTCATGCATTAGTTTTAGGGGTCAACGATTATTGGCCTGGCCGATTATCGGCGCCGATATTAAGCATTTTTATGATTATCGGTATCGGTCATTTTCAAAACCGAATCGCCAATAAAATAACTTAATTTTCGCTATTTGGCTCTGATGCAGCCTGTCAGAACTCACCACTCTGTGGCCTAAAGCAGTCTCCGCCCACCGCTCATCTGATTTGTTGGGAGTCACGAGTCCGACCAATCAATGCGGAATTCACTCTCGCTCCAAAAGCACTTGCTAACTGCAGCTGCTTCAGTGATCACGCATCAGTTGTCTCTCAAAGGTAAGGCAGCAGCAGACCTTGCTTAAGTTGCAATAGATCCCAATCCACTAATGTTACACTGAAGTTGCAAAACACCTCAATATTATCTATGATTTCCACGATGCGGACGGAATCGCGGAATCCAGTCATATAAATGGAATTTACTGCATGACGCGGAATGTCACGGAATTTGTCAAAGTTTGGATGAATTAATCAAAAGTAGGTCAGTACACTTAAATAGAGGCGCAATATGGACTAGTATCTTTAAATATTAAGCCGCAAAAATACAATTTAAATATGGATCCAGCATGTTCTGCGTGTCTCTGTGTATGTAAATGGCACAGACGTTTTGTTTTCTACACATACAAAGTGTGCGACGCTCGCGCTGATTTCAGCTTCTGTCGTATCACTACATGAGGACATAAATCCATAAACAACATCTCCAGAACTGCTCTGACTCCCTCTGAGAGTCACTTCATGAGCATTTGACAGTTTCATTTGAGTAAAACTATCTTCATATCATTTACATAGACCTACAGAAACAAGTTCCTCAGGGCAACCTGTCAAAATATAAGTTCGGGTTAGCTTAATGAAATTATCAGAAATATATTTCTGTGGTGCAGTATGATGTAAATACTACTCGGGGATGAAAGTTTTTGAATTGAGTTTCCGTCAATTGGAAAAAATGAGGGGAAAAGAAACATGTAGCACATTGTTGTTGTTCTGGCAATTTGTTGGTAGCATAATCTGATAGGTAGCATTATTTGTCAGAACACCAGCACACCAAAAATCCTCCCCGCCACGGCTGCAGCTTCTCACTGACAACATAACACCGCTCGCATTATTCACAGTCGGGTTATTAGCAGAGAACAGAGCTGGTCTTGAATTTCAGGCACAGGATTGCGGCTATTAATAATAATTCTACTCATTCCCGCAGGTTCCGCGCTTATAACGTGATGACAGATGACGTAACATATCATTTGCACATGCTTTTGAGTCTTGAGAAGTCTTGAGCCCACAGATAAGGAGAGTGACAGATTTTAATAATTATTCAAGGAGTTTGCAAATGTGATATTGATTTAATACAACAGTTCAATAAACACATACTGCCTGATTTTGTCCTACTTCATCAACGAAAATAGTTCCAAATAAAGTAACAGCTCAGCCGCTGCGCATCCCTAAAAGCACAGCGGTGTTTCATTCATGAATGAAAGTACGTTTTTGAACGAATCTAGTCAGTGATTCATGATTACCCATTCATAAAGACAGTCACTTGCTTCATTCCTGAATGAATTAGCCGTTCAAACGAATCAATTGAATGAATGATTCAGTGATAAAATCCGTGATTTGCCGCAACCTGCTGGCAGTTTCAGTTTCATTTTTAGGTATAATTGCAGTTATTTAAATCATTTAATATTTCTGTATTCAAATTTTTATTTAAAACATTAATCTCCACATTAATTTATTAATTTAATTGCACTCATGCCACCTCTGAGCCTCATTGAATGTCTGAAAATGTACCTACAAGCCACTTGTGTGTTCTTCTGTGCCACCTCTGTAGTACAAATACATTTTTCATTAATACTAATTTCATGATTGGTAACTTATTTGTCTTATTCTACTTCTTATTATATTGTTTTAAATAGAAATGTTAAAAAGCTTATAAGCATAAGTATTTGAATTTGACAGATGAAAATTATGCCATTGCAAAGGTAAAAAATAAAATGCCCCTGTAAATCACTTCACCTCGTATTAGGAAGACTAATTTTTGATCAGAATTTTTGATTATTGATCAGAAGGTGCTCCTTAATTTTTTTTAAATTAGGAGGACAAGCACTCTTGATTACAAGAAGAAAAACACTGCTCTTAAACTGGGTGTGTGACAGGTATGGCTGAGGAATGGGGTTTGGCCGAGGAAAAATTCAGTCAAGATTTTTTATTCTTTTTGTGTTAACCCCTGACTACTACAACAATTATTACAACTTTAGTTTAAAAGAATAATCACACAATGCGCTATTTCTTCCATGTTTGAATTTGAATGGTAAACCCTTTGTTTGCCAAAAAATAAAGAGTTTAACTCTTTAAAATAAAGAGTTTACTGTGGGAGTACTACACTCAACCAACACCAGGGAAGGCAGTTTTTGTCAGAGCCCTTGTTATTCTTAATTTTGACATTAATTTTCATTTTTACACCAGACATATATATCGGTTCAAAATATCGGTTATCGGTCTACTTGATCTGTAATAATCGGTATCGGCATCGGCCTTGAAAAACACACATCAGTCGACCCCTAATTAGTTTGGTGCGATTGATTAAGGAAAAATAATGTGTTCAAGTTATTATTAGTACATTTATTGACGTATATTTATTTTAAGCAATAATTCAATAAACAAGTTAATATTGTTACGTTTTAGAAACAATATTGTCAAAACTCTCTGTTTTGTTCTATTTCCCAAGTGAAAATAGTTCCGAACAAAGCCACAGCAAGCAAGTCATTTTCTTGAAATCAGCTGTTTGAACAAATCGGTTGAATGAATGACTGAATGACTCATTCGTTAAGACAGTAACTTGCCGCCACCTACTGGTGATTTTAGTTTCATAATATCATATATCATATCATCATTTCATATTTCAATATTACTTTTTTAAATTAAAAAAATAATTAAAAAAAATAAAATACCTTTAACATTTATTATTTTTATTCAAGGTTGAATCTAAATATTTCTTTCTGAAGCTCTGTTTTTTTAATGTCTATTCAAAGCTTTTCTCATCTAACACAATAATGACTTTATCTTTTGGGGGGTAATTTTTCAGGGAAAATTGATGTGTGATACACTTGACAGACCTAATAACCAGATAATGTGAATTTCTCAAAATCATATTCGTTTTCATATATGTTTCTGCATGTGTATCAGGCTACAGATATCGACACGGGAAACTACAGTAAGATGGCCTACAGACTGATCACCCCCCCCTCACCCGAGGGGCAGGACAGTTTCGTCATTGAGCCGTACACTGGCGTCATCAAGAGCGCCATCATGTTCAGAAACATGCGCCGGTCCTACTTCAAGTTTGAGGTCATTGCCACAGACAACTATGGGGAGGGATTGAGCGGCAGGGCTGATGTGGTGGTGAGTGCATGTGACCTTTGACCTGTATGTTTGTTCATACACCTCATGCAAAACCATGATTCGAACACAAAACAGAACACGTCACTTTGAGAAATGACATTTTCTCTCATTCCTCTGGTTATGCAAAATGAATGTTTGGGGTTCAAATCAAATCACTGACTGAATAATTTTAAAAGTGTCTAAATTGCATAACAACAATCAGCACTGTTATTAAGGGAAAATATCTCTCCAGAGTGTCGATTTAGTTTGGTAAATACATTATGTTTGAATAAATGTTTGCTTGCGGGAGTGCATATGGTATTTGTGCACTACTTAGTGCAGTAATGAATATATAAATAAACTGTTTTTGTGTCAGCTGAATTATTTATCTCCTGAAGTGTTGCAGCCAGTGACTTGTGCAATTCCTGGAAATCTCTTGGCTAATGAACGTCAAATAAAATAAGAGGGATTTTGGAACTGATGTGTGCATAAGGGTTTTAAACATCATGTCAATAATGTTTGCGTCATTTTCAATTTCCACTAGCAGTAGAATTTTGTGCTGGTATAGAAAGTGATTCTGAAAGCATTCATTCGGATGCTGTACCCTTATTGACCAACTGAATTAAAGACCATTACAACCACAAATAGCACTTTAAAGCTGGATGGTATACAGTGGGGTCTAACTCACAAAGTGTGAACATTTTTCAGTTTAATAATTTTTTTATTGCAAATTACACCATCATAAAAAGTCTGTGGTCAGTAAGATTTTTAAATGTTTTTGAAAATAGTCTTGCTAATTGCTCACCATAATAAATCATCATAAATGCTCACCATGGTTGCATGTATTTGATCAAAAATACAGTAAATAACCAGATGGTAATCCAGTGCTTCAGTGGAAGCAAGAACACCTGACCATTTATGTCATAAAATTTCCCAAAATATTACAACTGTTGATTTATATTCAGGTTTAAATTAGATTTATAATTGTGTTTTAGTTGTGATGCTTTAAACAGCAAAAATGGTTGCAAAAATCTTTATGAATCTGCCTGGTAACAGTAAATGTTTGCTTGAAATTATCATTCCTCTGATTTAAAAAAAAATCACTCTTAAGCCATTTTGGAGAAAATATAATATCATCATGCTGAAACTTTTTTTTGTTTTTTTTAGCTCTGTCACCTGTGCATATAAACATGAATCAAATCCTCTGTCTCTTTCGTATTCTGTGTGGGTTGTAGGTGTCCGTTGTCAATGCCTTGGACATGCAGGTTGTGGTCTCTAATGTGCCGCCCACTGTGGTGGAGGAGAATAAAGAGCAGCTGATTAGGTGAGAATTCCTCCCTCGGTGTGTTTCTCTGCACTGCTGCTTTCCTTGAGTGGCATTTAAGTGTTTCCTGCACTGTCAGCAGCCTTTGTTTTCCCACTTGCTTTGATTTTAAAAGGCCATCTCAATTGTTAAAACACAGAATTGAGCTCAAATGACAAATTTCAATAAGCAAAATAGAACCACTTTGCTCAGTAGATTGCAGAATAATCATAATAAAATACTAAATGATTGCTTTTTTAAAACTAGTCAGGTGTATATATTGCAAAGTTAGAAGACCGTAAAATTTCATTTATTCAGTGTTCTGTATGCTTCACGCACGAGTTATAGGAAGAATTCACAAACTGTTATATTTCGAAATCAAAAGAAAAAAGCTATTATATTTATATCACTATCACCTTAATGTGAAAAGTCACATTATTTAAATATTTAAGCATTTATTATAACTGTTTTACTTATTGATGCTGATTTTTATAAAAAAAATGATAGCCATGATCATTAATGGAAAATAATCCGTGATACTGTATAATGTGAAATACATGAATAAAATTAACTTATGTGTCAAAATTTTGTGAGATTCACCCTTTAGGTTTAGCAAAAATAGATTGTTTTCAGTGCTTTTTTTTTTTATTAGATTGTAAAGTAGAAGTATCAGAAATTAAGTAAGTGGGTTTTTCATTTTAATGTTTGAAGTAGATAAAGTAATTTAATTTCCCCCCCCAGTATTTTGGAGCGCTACGTGCAAGATCAGATCCCTGGTGCTAAAGTGATAGTGGAATCGATTGGCCCTCGGCGGCACGGAGAAGGTTATGAACTTGAGGACTACACCAAATCAGACCTGCAGGTGTACGCCATCGACCCTCTCACCAACAGAGCCATCTCCAGACAAGAGCTCTTCAAGTAAGCCAAACACACAGCCACTCCTGACACCTTTAACAAACATTTGGAAAAAGGGGGAAAAGTCAGAGCCTTGTCCTCTGTGCTACAGTATATGGTGCTGACATGACATTTCGGGTTTAAATCTGGCTTGCAACATTTTCCCTCCTCATCTTACTATCACTGCTTGATCTTGGTCTTCTGTGCAAAACAACTCGTCTTCAAAATCATTTAAACAGCCTGAACATCTAGTTGACTAATTGTTATTATATCTGTATATAAGAAAAAATCTAAATAAACTCTTGCCATCACAACATATCTCTAGTCTACACAATAGTGGCAAAAAAGTAAAGGAGAAAAAGGAAATGAACTGGCTTTGTGAACAGCTGTTCTACAGGAAGCACCTGTCCTCCTCGGTCTAGAGGAGAAAAGCCCCCTGAAGTCCAGACACACAGCAATATGCTCATTTAAACTCTGCTGTGCCCCGTGACTCAGCAGGGAGACGCGTCTGTCACTGGGATCCAACACAAGTCATCAGGATTCTGTTCAAATATGTGTTTACTGAGCCAACACACATCTCATTCATATTCACAAGCACAGGAGATCACAGACCACCTGCCTTATTCTGCCTTTCTAGACACACTTCTTACTCTTATACATGTTTTATTTTGTTCACTGTTAGATGTGTTCTGCTCCTGTTTGTATCTCTACCAAAGCAGAGCAGCTGCCCAGATGAAAATGTTATGCCTTAGAGGTTACTGGTAACATTTCTTTAGAGAAATAAAGACATAAATGAAACCATTGTTGACATACTGCACAGTAAGAGAGCATTTGCAAGAATTTGATGTGAAATGTTTTAGCTCGTATTAAAATCTATGACTATTTAATTGTATTTAATTTGTTGAGATCCTGATAGATTTAAGATCGCATGTAAGGGTCGAAGGCAAAAAATCTGAGAAATTCCAGCAGAATTCTCCATTTAATATATTTATTGTTTAACAGAACCAACTGAGATATTCAAAGAAAAGATATTGTAGTATTGTTGTTGTTGTTGTTGTTTGTTCAACCTCTGTCACTCTGAAATCTCATTCATACATCAGATTTGAACTGATTTTGTTGTCTATGATGCCGAGCTGCAAATGAATTTTGAGAGCCATGAAACCATTGTTATTTTTACATTTTCACTTAAAATTTTATTTTAGGTTGTAGTCGTTTTGTTATGTGATTTTATTATTATTATTATATAGCTTTATTTCTATTTTAGTTTCAGTAATTTCTCTAGAAAATAAAATTATTTACTCATTATTTCAGTTAATTTTCTAAAGTTGTTGAGATCATTTCATTCAACAATTGAACTATTTAACAACTCCTTTTTTTCCTTGCACGAAACTATTGTCTTACAAAGACCACTTTCTTTAAAATTTAATTTTAGGTTGTAGTCGTTTTATGTGATTTTATTATTATTATTATATAGCTTTATTTCTATTTTAGTTTCAGTAATTTCTCTAGAAAATAAAATTATTTACTCATTATTTCAGTTAATTTTCTAAAGTTGTTGAGATCATTTCAGTCAACAATTGAACTATTTAACAACTCCTTTTTTTCCTTGCACGAAACTATTGTCTTACAAAGACCACTTTCTCTTGGAAGTGTATGGAAAAAAGGACAATCCTCTTTTGTGTTTCATGGAAGAAAAATACAAGTTTGGAAGAACATGAGGTAGACTAAATGATTCATTTTCATTTTTGACTGAACTTTGCCTTTAAAGAGATCTCATTTGCAATTTTACTTTGTTACAGATGAGGACATATTATTTTGTGTGGATATTATCTGTCTCAATTTGACTCTGGGGACATGCTGTTCTTCAGACTGTGTGTTTGTTTGTTTGTTTGTTTGTTTGTGTGTATGTACCTTCCTCACTGAGAACAGCCGACTGCTGAGTTTTTTTCCAGCCTTCTCCTTTCATATGTTTTGCTGGAGACAAGGTTGTTTTCTGGTGTCTCAGGTCATAGAACTCAAAATCTGCTTCTCGAAGCTTTACACTCTGTGCTGTACCTCAGCATTCACAAAAGTTCCCCCTCACAAAACTCGTTTCTTTCTCCAGAATTCATCTGGTCACTCTCAGTGGTGTTTTGTATGGATGAATCCAGCCATCCTGCTGGTTCGAAGCCCATTGACTCTGAAATGCGCTAAAAACAGGCAGCCATTGTTGAGCACGTTCACACTGCGTGTCTGTAACAGTGTGAGTTAACCCATGCTGTTTCTCTTCCTCCACAACAGGGATGCGATTCAAAGAGATGAAGGGCTTGTGGGTAAAACCAGGGGTTAAACCTGGATCTAACAATCTGAAATGATGTTCCAGCGTCTTTGATTAAGAAAAGAAACAAAATATTGGCAGTTTGTTCATCACTCCTTTCGGTTTCCTGTGTGCTTCAGTCCAGCTTGAGTCTGTTCCGTTCCTTTTCCATTTAGTGAACCAGCACATACCATCCTGATATATAAATCTATATACACATATGCTATTTCAGCTTTACTTCAAATACTGGAAACTATTTTCCTTGCACTATTTTCCAAACCATTGTATGTCTTACAATGACTTGGAATAGAGTGCATGAGTCACGTATTTTGTGGTTCTTTTTGGAGCTCTGGGAATTGTGTGGAGAAAAGAAGGACATTCTTCTTTTGTGTTTTATGGAAGAAAAAATGTATATAGGTTTGGAAGAACATGAGGGAGACTGAATGGTCAATTTTCATTTTTGATTTAATTGTGCATTTAGAAAGATCTCATTTGTGGTTTTTCTATGTTACAGATGAGGACAGATGAGTGATTTTGTGTGTGTGTGTGTGTGTGTGTGGACATTTATTTTAATTTTATTTTATTTGTGTGAGTAAGTGTGAGTCCAGTAATCAGCTTGGAAAAAACCTATTCTTTTGATTTTGTTATTCAGTTAAACGCCATAAACACTTGTTAAATGTTATGGCAGTCTGACTGAAAAATGAAAATTGAGTATAAAACAACACTGTTGGGACAAAAACAGTGAGGCTTTTTTCAATGATTGAGGATTTTTCAATATCATCTTTTGTGTTTCACAGAAGAAAGAAAGTAAAGTCAACTGGATTGAGCTGATGGAACGTGGAGAGCAAAATTTACAGGTTTAAATTCAGAATAGCAACAGAGTTACTCAGTTCACCTTGAAAATCAAAATCTATTCACCCTCATTTCTTTAAAGTTGAAAGGGAAACTCTTCAGATGCTGTGGAGCTCATATACACATGGTTTTGTAGGTCTGTTTGACCACATAGATCAAACACACAGTCTTTCATCAGTCTTTAAACCTGGATAATCGATTGTGTTTGAACAGTCCTGTTTACTAGGTGCTTCTGTTGAAGTGTTCTGCTGCAGCAGGGCTAATTGGTCTGCCGTGGATACTTATGAAGTACTTAACATGCAGGTCTATTTAAACATTATTGATCAACAAAGTGTCACCAAAGCCAAGTCTTTTTACATTTCATGTCGACTGAGGAGAAAAGTACTCTTGCTCTGCTTTGGAGTGGCACTGCTAAACAGCTCTATATCAGTATATTAAATAATAATAACTCAGGTTGATATTAGCACAATCAAGCCATTTACACATGCAGGGGAGAATGAGGATTTCCATATCATGTTGCCTAGTAACTCATATGACGGACTGGAAAAGGCTAAATACAGCTGAACGGATGCTGCCCTCATTAGCAGGATTCTTGGCTCCCGCTTCTCTGTCGAAGATGCTTTGGATTGACACTGAATGTTATCAGCATCTAGCTGTCAATCATCTCAAGGCTGTCATAGTTACTACAGTATAAACATGCTGTGTATGTGAGTGGAATCTTGTGATTATAATGTGCAGGTATTTATCTGTGGTTTGACAGTTTGACATTTTAATTACACCATTTTTTATAATTTCTTTTAATTTTATTTTATACTTTAAGTGTATACTTTAAGTGTATTGTTTTATTTTTAATATAATCACAAATTAGTTTTTCAGTATAGTTCAGTTTCATTCCTACAGTTGCTTTATGATTTTATTATAATATTTTTTTTTGCAGTATTTATTTTATTTTTTAATTTGATCACAGTTCATTTTCAATGCACTTTAATTTCTTTCGTACAGTTGCAGTATTACTGTGCAGCCTAAAAGTGTACAGACTTTATTTATTTATGTGCTAATGCTGTTATGGATGTTTTTTGTGATTTATGGTGTGCTTACTGTACAGGTCCATATTTGTGTAGAAAGATCGAAATTTAAATTCTTGTCTAAAATGTCTGCTCGATGTGTGTTTGACAGGTTTCTGGACGGCAAGATTCTGGACATCAATAAAGAGTTCCAGCCGTACCTGGGCGAGGGCGGGCGGATTCTGGAGATCCGTTCTCCTGACATCGTGGCGAGTGTGAAGAAGGCTGCACACCAATGAGACAGTCATCAGCTATTGTGTAAATACATAACAGATGGGCAATCATAGAGTGAACACAAACAGCTAAACACACACACCTACAGTACGTGTGTGGAGCTTGCTCTCGCACGCACACACACGCATGCATGACTGCATTCAGATGTTTTGATGCATGTTAAAGAGTTCAGTTTGTGATTAGACTCTTGTATTAAAGGTGAAGTGACATTTTTATGTCGTTTCATTTGGTTGTTTACTAAAGATGCATAAAAGGAGACACAAGTGTGAGCTTATATATCACATTACGAGATCTCACACTGTGTTTCGAGTAATTGCATTCTGGTTAAATAAATCATATTGAGAGGAGCGCGTCTTTGATAGCCTCCAGGAAGCCCAGGGTCAGGATGAGAGAGTGTGTGTATGAAATACAAAGATGGGAAGGAGAATAGAGAGCTGGAGAGATAGAGAGGGGGTGCTGCTGAGAGCTGTATTGTTTCCCAACTCTGGAGATGTGGGATAAACCGGGGTTATCCTGTGCTCTTATCACATTTTACAGCATGAATTATGCACTCACACATGCAGCAACCAAAATGGGCTGCATGGTTCAACACTGAGCATTTTCTGACCTGTGAAATTAGAGTTTGGACTGCCAGTCGATTAAAAATATGAATTAAGATCATGATCTGTTACACAATGAGCTGATTAACCAAGTTACTGACAATTACGTATGGCAATTCATGTATGTGCAATAGAAATATTTTCTGGGAAAAGAGTGGTTAGAAACCCCTTTTTAAGGCATTTACATACAGGTCAGAGAGTATAATTAATTTTAAATTATATATTTATATAATTATATTATTATATTTTCATATTTAGTATTCAATGTTATCTGTTATATCCATTATATATTATCCTTATTATACTATCCATTTTCTAAACCATTTGTCCTCTGTTGGTTTGTGGGTATATTATATGATATTACATTGCTTGTGTTTCATTGAATTATTCCTGTGCCTAATTATCTAATAATTTTCCTTTCTTCTTCCTCTTTCCCTGCACTTCCTGTCACTGCATGTGGACCCTGCGCTCAGATTCAAAGAGTAAGTTCAAATTCTTTTTTGATGAATTATTTGCCAGAGACTGTGTGCGTTCGTACCCTCCTTATTCAGTTCAGTCCTTTAAAACAGGAACATGCGAGTAGAATGCATGAATTGAGATGAGAAGCAAAGGACATACTCACTCCAGCCCTCTCTGATTCCAGCACAATAGCGATGCCTTTAAAAATGAACAGAAATTACTGGTTTCATGACCTCATAGAGTAGAAAGTGAGCCGGGTTCAGCTCCCTCCTAATAAAACACCTCATCTCAGTGTGAAAGGTGCTGAATAACCCATGATATTTTGCATTGAATGAATAAAAAGTGCTGGAACAGATCAAATGAGAGTTGCCGGAGCTCCAGACCTCATATCCTCCTATAATAGAGCTGAAATGAGCCTTTTGAAATGAAGGAAACTCACTCTTTGGGGGTGCTTTACAGGAGGCAGGCCGAGTGTGCCAAAACTGCCCGTATCCAGATGGCTCTTCCTGCCGGCAAATCAACAGGAGGTGGCGCTCCGACCAATCTCTACGAGGAGCTGGGAGATGGCGGCATGTAAGTTACCTGTCCTAAATAATACCTTCAGCAGAGACAGCAGAGAGATGATTAACAAGATTTGTGTGTGTATCTGCAGGAAAATCAAGAATAGTTCACCCCAAAATAAAAATTCTGCCATAAATTTATCTCAGAAATTTCGGTCGTCATTCAATCAGTCACCTGTGTGACTTTCTTTCTTGGAACACCACAAAAATATTATGGACCAAAACAGCACCATAAAAGTAGTCCATAGTACATTGTAAAATATATACTATGCTAGTTGGCTGGGCTTAGGTGGTTTAAGCTGGTCTCCCAGCCTGACCAGCTAAAGAAGTGGTCATTTTAATTTAATTTATTTGTAATATAATCACAAATTAGTTTTTTCATTATAGTTCAGTTTCATTCCTACCGTTGCGTTATGATTGATTTCTTTTTTTTTTTACATTTTATTTTTAATTTGCTCTCAATTTTTCAATAAAAAAAATTCATTCATACAGTTGCATTATTACTGTGCCGCCTGAAAGTGTACAGATTTTAGTGGTGTTTTTAATATATGGTCAAAGTGGTCAAAACCACTCTAAAACCAGCCTGCAAACCAGCTATAAAACCATCCAAACAGCTTAGACTTGTTTCAGGTTTTTTGTTTATTTGTTTGTTTTCAGTGGGGTATTATTAGTTAATAATTGACATAATTATTATTGGTAGAAGCAGCAGTATTTTAGTATTAGGCAGCAAGTTATAATAATAATAACTTATTATTATTATTATTTATTAATTTGAGTGTTATTAGTTTATTTATCTATTAATTGTAGTCAGCCAATAAATACAAACTATAATAATAATAATTTTTAGTATTTCTAGTATTAGACAGCCAGTTAATTGAAAAACGTAATAATAATAATAATAATGTTATTATTATTTCTAAATGTATTTGCTTTTTTTTAAGGTGTAAAAAAGCACACAAAAATGATCACAAAAAGCTCTTTTTTTAATGTATGTTTCTTCATATTTCCTTCATATTTCTTCATGACTATGGTAAATGGGATTTGTTAAACCGCATCCCCCTTATGTAACTGTATATATATCATTTATATTCACAAATGTTATGCATCATAGATACATTATACATCTTGTTTCGACAGCTGCTTTTCTAAGTGTGAGATTCTTAGCCAGAATAAGCTGAAAACGTGAATTTTGTCAATAGTCAAAAGTTAACTATGATTACAAGACTAGTAGACATTTAGCTAGCAGTTAAGAAGTATATAAACATTTAACATAATAAAGACAGCATATTTCGTGTACCTTCCATCTCAGAGCTCCTATTGTACACACATGAAGACGTTTTACTCTACAGTTGCGTGTCTCTATTTGTAACCTCTACAGTTCTGAGAGCGTTGAGGACAGGCTGAAAAAACACACACAGTAGGTGAGGGAGATGAGTATTGGATGCCAGGTATTAAAATGGCTTTTTTCAGTAATTAGCCATGCTAACAGGCTAATCTCCCAGCCAGCTCTGTGTGAAAGCAGATTAATTATGAGCATTTGTGACATATCCCAGGCATTCGATCCATCCGTCACATCTACTCATGAAAGCCCAGCATATGGGCCTGCTCTCCACACACAGCAGCTCCTCTGAGACGTGAGTGTGGTCCTGACCTTCTGCACACACCAATGAGACAGTCATCAGCTATTGTGTAAATACATAACAGATGGGCAATCATAGAGTGAACACAAACAGCTAAACACACACACCTACAGTACGTGTGTGGAGCTTGCTCTCGCACGCACACACACGCATGCATGACTGCATTCAGATGTTTTGATGCATGTTAAAGAGTTCAGTTTGTGATTAGACTCTTGTATTAAAGGTGAAGTGACATTTTTATGTCGTTTCATTTGGTTGTTTACTAAAGATGCATAAAAGGAGACACAAGTGTGAGCTTATATATCACATTACGAGATCTCACACTGTGTTTCGAGTAATTGCATTCTGGTTAAATAAATAATATTGAGAGGAGCGCGTCTTTGATAGCCTCCAGGAAGCCCAGGGTCAGGATGAGAGAGTGTGTGTATGAAATACAAAGATGGGAAGGAGAATAGAGAGCTGGAGAGATAGAGAGGGGGTGCTGCTGAGAGCTGTATTGTTTCCCAACTCTGGAGATGTGGGATAAACCGGGGTTATCCTGTGCTCTTATCACATTTTACAGCATGAATTATGCACTCACACATGCAGCAACCAAAATGGGCTGCATGGTTCAACACTATGAGCATTTTCTGACCTGTGAAATTAGAGTTTGGACTGCCAGTCGATTAAAAATATGAATTAAGATCATGATCTGTTACACAATGAGCTGATTAACCAAGTTACTGACAATTACGTATGACAATTCATGTATGTGCAATAGAAATATTTTCTGGAAAAAGAGTGGTTAGAAACCCCTTTTTAAGGCATTTACATACAGGTCAGAGAGTATACTTAATTTTAAATTATATATTTATATAATTATATTATTATATTTTCATATTTAGTATTCAATGTTATCTGTTATATCCATTATATATTATCCTTATTATACTATCCATTTTCTAAACCATTTGTCCTCTGTTGGTTTGTGGGTATATTATATGATATTACATTGCTTGTGTTTCGTTGAATTATTCCTGTGCCTAATTATCTAATAATTTTCCTTTCTTCTTCCTCTTTCCCTGCACTTCCTGTCACTGCATGTGGACCCTGCGCTCAGATTCAAAGAGTAAGTTCAAATTCTTCTTTTTGATGAATTATTTGCCGGAGACTGTGTGCCTTCGTACCCTCGTTATTTGGTTCAGTCCTTTATAACAGAAACATACGAGTAGAAAGCTTGAATTGAGATGAGACGCAAAGGACATACTCACTCCAGCCCTCTCTGATTCCAGCACAATAGCGATGCCTTTAAAAATGAACAGAAATTACTGGTTTCATGACCTCATAGAGTAGAAAGTGAGCCGGGTTCAGCTCCCTCCTAATAAAACACCTCATCTCAGTGTGAAAGGTGCTGAATAACCCATGATATTTTGCATTGAATGAATAAAAAGTGCTGGAACAGATCAAATGAGAGTTGCCGGAGCTCCAGACCTCATATCCTCCTATAATAGAGCTGAAATGAGCCTTTTGAAATGAAGGAAACTCACTCTTTGGGGGTGCTTTACAGGAGGCAGGCCGAGTGTGCCAAAACTGCCCGTATCCAGATGGCTCTTCCTGCCGGAAAATCGACAGGAGGTGTCGCTCCGATCAATCTCTACGAGGAGCTGGGAGACGGCGGCATGTAAGTTACCTGTCCTAAATAATACCCCTTAACCTTCAGCACAGACAGCAGAGAGATGATTAGCAAGATTTGTGTGTGTATCTGTAGGAAAATCAAGAATAGTTCACCCAAAACTGAAAATTCTGCCATCAATTTCTTTCATTCTCGTCGTTCAAAACCTGTATGACTTACTTTCTTGGAACTCCACAAAAATATTATGGACCAAAACAGCACCATAAAAGTAGTCCATAGTACATTGTAAAATATATACTGTATGTTTTATAAGAAAAGTCTATTTCAGTCTCTCTACTTTAAAAATGTACTTTCAATTGAATGTGCATTTCTTTGTAATTATTCTTTGAACTCATTCTAAATACAGTGGGTACGGAAAGTATTCAGACCCCCTTAAATTTTTCACTCTTTGTTATATATGCAACAAAGCGAAATTGCGGCAAAGTGTATGATTTTTGCCACCCGCTATCATTTGTATGGACGAAAGCAGCATGAGCATTCTGCTAAATATCTTATTTCATGTCACATGGAGGAAAAGGAAAGTCTATCATGTTTGGAATGCCATGTGAATATAAATAATAGAATAACAGAATATAACATTTTAGGTGAACTACCCCTTCAATGCCCTGACCTGGTTCTTCATTTGAAAAAGAAATTAGTTTTTCCTTGACATTCTCTAAAGGGAGAAACTGTTTCTTTTTGACATCCCGAAGGTAATTGTTTCTTTAGTAAATTAGCTGCGTTGTTGGCTTTAATACTGAGTCCATCCATAGAGATGTGCTCACTGGACGCGTGGATTTGGTGCAGCAGGAGTCCATTGCCAAGCTAAAGGCTGTTGTGAGTGGAATGAAATGTTAATAGATTAAAAGATTATAGCCGCAGCACAGCATCTGTGTCCCTCAGGTAAAGCCTTTTAAAGTGCTTTTGATTTAATGCAATCAAAACAAATGCAGCTGCTAACACAAATAGACAGCGAAAAAGACGTGGTTTTGAATCGAATCCATTAGAATAGATGCTGAGTTTGCTGGACCGTGTTTCTGAATAACAGTCTAATACCATCAACAGAAAGGAACATTAGGGTAGAATTTGTTTGCTTGGGTTTTGGGCAAACATTTAGTTTTTTTGTTGGATATTAATAAAAACAGTGGTCTGTCAGCAACCTTGTAAACAATGATTAAGGAGTCTCTCTGTGACCCTCAGAATGATTGTTGATGTATGTATTTATTTATGTTTATTTTTACCGGAAATTTCACCCAAAAAAACTAAAGTAATAAATTATTAATTTAATTGAATTAAAAATTGATGTAATATGTAGTTTAATTTAAATATATAGTTTTAATTCTGTAATTTTAATTTAATTTAATAATTTGATAATATATGTGACCCTGGACCACAAAACCAGTCATAAGTAGCACGGGTATATTTGTAGCAGTATGGTGTGTATGTATGTAGCAATAGTATGGGTCAAAATTATTGATTTTTCTTTTATGCCAAAAATCATTAGGATATTAAGAAAAAGATCATGTTCCATTAAGATATTTTGTAAGTTTCCTACCATAAATATATCAAAACTTAATTTTTGTTTAGTAATATGCACCATTAAGGACTTTATTTGGAGAACTTTAAAGGCTATTTTCTCAATATTTTTTTTTTCACCCTCAGATTTCAGATTTTCAAATAGTTGTATCTCAGCCAAATATTGTCCTATCCTAACAAACCATACATCAATGGAAAGCTAATTTATTCAGCAAAAAGATTTGTGGTCCAGGGTCACATATAGTTTAATTCTGTAATTCTAATTTAAATAATTCCAATTTTGTTTTAAAATATATAGTTTTAATTCTGTATTTTAATTTACAAATTTTGGGTAATTTTGTTGCATATTTTTTTATTATTATTTTTTTTTTAAATATGTCAAAAATAGTTTTCATTAATATGTTTTTTTTTTGGGGGGGCAAGTTAAGCTAAATGAAAATGAGAACTGTTGCTTTGGCTTTTTAATTTTAGATAGTGTTATTTAGCTGGATTGCATTAATTTGGGTGCTTTTCCATTGCGATTTGAATAGAGATATGATCACACTTATCCACAGAAACCACCACTTACAGTATATATTACTTACTTAGTTGTACTGTATGTGATTAATAAAAACACATTTGCATTTACACCTTTGTAGAACATGGTTTTGTGTGCATTTACATTTGGTGTTTTTTTGTGGTCAAGTTTCTGATTCAGTCACTGAAAATGCATGCAAATGCCAAATGTGAACAGGGCCTGCCTGTGTTAAATTGTCATCATATCCCTCTGTCTACATGCATGTTTCCTCTCATGTTTCATTCATTCTCATCTTCTCTCTGCATTTTCCAGGCTTGGACTACAGTGAGTAGCATAAAATATGCTGCATTTCCCTGCAGTGATCTTTCTTACACACTGCTTTCAATATATTTTAAAATCCCTCTTGACTTACATTTGTGGTTTGTAGTTTCTAGTCTCTGTGTAACTGCTCTGCTAGTTTTCTTTACCATTTAATCTGTTTTTACCCTTGATTCATGTCGAATTGCATATTGAAAGGAAATTTTTTTTTTATTACTGTTTACTGTTAAAAAATAAAAAAATGCACAGATACATGTGTGTAGCTCTGTAGTGGATTAAAGCTTTAGTAGTTTGGCTAGATAAAGCCCTCGCCTCCCGGCTCTAGTGGTTCCTCGCAGTTCTTTCCTCAAAGCAAACAAACACGCTTCTCACGTCCTTCACTTTGAGACTCGCCATTGTCACAGCTCATCTTGATTGATGTTTGAACGAAGATTATCTGAACAGATAGGGATTTCAGACTGGTTTATGAGTGCTAGTAGGGCTGCACGATTATGACAAAAATCACAATTGTTGATTATGCCCTTGAAATTGTAATTGCGATTATTAATTACGATTATCACAATTTACATTGAATGATGTTTATACCATTGTTTGATGCAACTGCATGCCGTATTTTTATATGAAAATAAACAAGCTGAAAACACTCGAACTGAAAAACCTTTAGTGCTTTTCTATAATATTAAGCCTCAAATGTCAAATATACATCAGATTGGTTTCTTTAAATTATAAAAAAAGTAAAAATATGAATGGTATCATAATGTTATACTAAAACTAAATGGAAAAGCCCTTAAAATATAATGTAGAAAGGAATAAACATATCTTTGAACGATTACGTAATTGTTGCATCCATAATTGTAATTGCGATTAGAAATTTGATTAATTGTCCAGCCCTAAGTGCTAGTGTATGATCTTCATGCTTCATAGCTGGAAAAACACAATTTTGATGTCTGCTTGCATTCATCATATTATTTCTGCGTTCCATACAAAGTCGGATGTAGCAGGGTATTCCTACTTAATTTCTCAGTCTATATCATATTGCTCAAGGCCTAGATGATGGTGTTTAAAGAAACATGGCAGTGCTGTTCTTTGTTTTGCAGGTACAACAGGGGCTAAAGGCACATGTTAAGGAAATTTTAGTTTTTCAATACTCCCATAGTGTATAAGTGCAGAAAAACATTATATTTTTTTATTGATCATGGTGGAGCACCATTTTGTGGGAAAAGAATCATAAAAGTAGTTTGTTTTGTTTAATAACCATATAAATACAAAAGGTTCCCAGAATTGGTACAAATATTTTGGTACCAAATATATGGTACCATATTTTGTTTATTTTGATAAAATAATTTAATGTAAATACACTGTCATATACTGTATATTAAAAAAAGAAATTGTGAAAGAAACAGAGAATTTCATACAGTGCATGAAGGATATCCCATAATAATTATATGTAATTGTTTATCAATACACTTTTAATTGTAACGGTTTCATTTACGTTAGACACTCAATGAAATACATAATTATGACGCTTTGAATCTCATGCCAACTAATGGAAAATAATGTACCATAAGTTTACATATTCTTTAGTTATTAAAAAAACCTGTTGATTTAATTACTCAGAAGGAAACTGAAAATATTTTTGTCACAAATATATTTGGTAGATTTAACTATTCTTATTTGCTACATAAATCTATAGCATTAAAATAAAAAAGACATTAAATATGAGATCAACATAGCATAGAATCTTCTTGTGTCATGGATCTGCCAGATTTTCAGATGCCGCAGTAAACCACAGATGTGGTTTAGAAGAAAATGTGTCTTCACATTGACCCAGTGGGTATACCCTATGATTATAAACAAAAAAAGCTCATTACCTGTGTTTAAACATCTTTTTCTTCAAAAGTTTGCATTTTATTGGTTTACAAGTGAATGTTTATCATTAAAACTGTATAATTCCTGTATTGCACTTTTCCAAATAGGAACTTTGAAATTCGACTTTCTGAATCTATTCTGAAACTATTTGTCTCAGAAGTCCTGACTAAGAGTATTTGCTTTAGCTTTTTTAAAGCTGAATGTAAAATCTTGAGCAACTTTGTTTGGCCGAGCTCTTTCAAAGTCCATTAAAGTGAAGGATTTGGTGTAGTGGGTCATTAGCGCTCTGTCCTCCCATGACTGTTCTCTTTCCTCAATTCCTTCCCGTCTCTTTCCACACATGCTTCAATCTTCTCTCCTTTCATTTTCTCTCGTGGGCTGCAGAAGGCGCCGAAAGTCTGTAATCGAGGAGGCGGATCGACAGAGTCGCATAAGAGCCTTTGCCTCTCGTGCTATCGCCGCTCACAAACTGTGTGCCGGAAACGGAAAGTTGCTCGACAGGTTGCCCAAGTCAGAAAGCAATGTCACCTTCCTCTTGGATCAACGGCCGCTCACCACGCAAAATCCGCTTTACCAGGATGGATCGTCAAGTAGTCCCGAGCCCAACTCGGAGGTGCAAATGGTCATTGGGTTTTTGGACCGTGATGTCCCATCTCCGACAAGCCCCATCAGCCAGATGACTTCTTGGTCTTTGCCGTCCCGTATTCGAGGACGAGGGCTTTACGATGCTCTGTGCCGGCAGGCACTCTTGGACCCTGCCAAATGGGAGGAGCAAGAGCTGAAGGCGGGGCTTAAGGACAGCAGGGAAGAGCTCGATGCTGATGTAGATCAAGGTGGTAGAAGCACAGAAACAAAGCTGTCGGTCCGAGAACAAGCCAGACAGTTTGAGCAGCAAGCTTTAGCCGAACGGACGCCAAGACAGAGCCGGGACTCTTACGCATCTCTAGATCCAGACGACCCACTGCTAACCGCCTTCATGTTCTCATCCAGTCCAATTTCTGTTGGCAAGGACATCCCACCCTGCATTATCATTGCAGGGGGTGATGGTGAGACTCCTCCCCCACCCATGGCTCAGCGTCCCACTCCGCCCGTCCTGAGGAAGTTCAGCTCCAGTATATCCAATTACATGACGGTGGAGCCTTGTGAGATCACTCTGGAATTCATATCGGACTCTCCGGAAAGTCCACCAACCCCTCTTCCTGTCCCATCCTGCTCTTTACTTTCTCCTCCACCTGTGCAACAGGACTCCACCCCACCACCTACCCCAACTCCTGTTCAGTCTCCTGAACCCCCCGCTCAGTCTCCGACTCCTACACGTAAGCTAAGAGGGATCCTCAAGAACACAGGCAGATCTGCCAACAGCCTTGATGTGAAAGATGACAGCACTTGCGAAGGAGGACTTAAAGACTCCATGACTGTTGTTCTAAAAGTGTCAGAATCTAAACCAGGTGAAACAGATGGCAGCCAATCAGAATCAGACTCTTCTGCTCAGCTCCCAAACTAACCAATCACAGCGGAATAAGAGACTCGAGCCCTTCATTGCTGAATGAACGCTGGAACTCTTCTGCTATCTTTCCTACACCTCTATTTCATTAATTACTTTTCCCTGTATCATTTCGAGGGCACTTTACTTTGAGAACACATAATATACTTCAAAGAAGGTCAAAAGCGTATAGTTTCATTTGTTTTTATGTTATGAGTGAGTTTATACTTCAAGTACTTCATAGAGCGGTCGCTTGTGCTTTTGTAAAGAATACAGAGAAAAGGAGTGAAGAATGTGATTTAAAATGTTATGATATTATTATAATTTTTGGACAATGAAATCCTACAATTATAAGCAAATAACAATTTTTTTTATAAGAACAGCTCTAATGGATTATAATAAAGATGCTTTTAAAAGTATAGGAAAAGGAATTTGCAGTAATGCATTTATATGATCAGAGGAGTGAATGTGTTCATGTAGAACAATCTACCTCTAAACTGTTTTTCTTTATTATTATTTCAAATTTACTGATTTAAACTGTTCTGCTGATTTCAAATTGCAGCCAAACAATGTTTTATTTTGTTTGTTAGTTAGTTTTGGTAATTTTGGTAATATGAAAAGCTCTCTGAAATGTAACACACTACTCTTTAAAAGTTTGGTCAGCAAATTTTTTTTAAAGAAATTAATGCTTTTATTCAGCAAAAAGTGACAGTAAAGACATTTGTTATTACAAAAACTTTCTATTTTAAATAAAAGCTGTTCATTTGAACTTTCTATTCATCAAAGGATCCTGAAAAACAGTATCCTGGTTTCCAATAAAATATTAAGCAGCACAACTGTTTTCGTGCTGCATAATAAGAAATTATTTGTTTCTTGAGCACCAAATCAACATATTAAAATCATTTCTGAAAGGTCATGAGACACTGAACACTGGAATAACAGCTGCTAAAAAATTCAGCTTTGACATCAAAGGAATAAATTACATTTTAAAATATATAAAAATAGAAACAGTTATTTTAATATTTTACAATATTACTGTTTTTACTGTATTTTTGATCAAATAAATGCAGTCTTGGGGAGCATTGGAACATCTTACCCACCCGTAACTTTTGAACAGTAATGTGTATATATTTTTAAGAAATATTTATATTTTATATTTATATTTAACATTTATATAGTTTTTTGCACAATGTGCATGCATTCATTTGCATGCCATCAGTTTACACATTGATAAGAAAATTTAAGCAAGTGGAATAATGTTTTACCAGTGGAATATATGAAATAAAAAAATCCTTTTATCAGATTAATCAAACTAATATTTGAACTGATTGTCAATGTTTGTGAATACTTAATGTTTAAATGTAGCACACTACTCTTGGTTCTTCGTAGCAGGCAGATGTTGGTGTGAGGAGCTGTTATCATGATCATGTGACTCTGAGAGGAGTGTTCGTTGATGATGAAGGTGGTGACAGAGATTGTTATCAAGTTTGATTAGGATGGGCCTTATAATTAAAGATCGGATTTTGTTTGAGCAATGTAGTATAATCAGAAAAAGAAAAAGGATGAATTGAATCAAATTATCCAATAGCCTGCACAGCCTAAGTAATGTCAATGGAAAAGGAAGGTCATTTCAGAGGAAGAGCAGGTTATTGCATTTTGATTAAATATTCGAAAGAGACATTTTTATTTAGAATAATGAGCACTGGTGAATCATTCACAATAAGACTAGGAACATGCATTAAGAAAGTAAATAGGGTTGGTTTTGAAGGTTAAAAACAGGTCATTCTTTATATGTTTTTCTGATTTATTCACCGTATCTCTCTCTCGATCTCTCTTCCCTGTTTTTTTACTCTCACTAACCCTTTTTAAAGGCTGTCTAGAGTGTCAGACCTCCTGAAGCTCTCCTGTCTCGGTTGGGTCCTGTGGATGTTTTTGCCCTTTCAGAAACGCAAGCAGACAAGAATCACGTCGAGATTAAACAATAACGCTAATCATTTAAGTGGCACATGGCAAGGGGACGTTCACTCCGCCGTTCCCCGCTGAATTCACCCCATCAGGCGCGCAGTCAATGTCTCTCCATTCACACAAACCGCTCCTACAATATCTCAGCAGGGGTCTGCAGATGGCGTCTCTCTCATCCATATCGAAAAATCTGTTTGAAATCTGTCATCATCCCATAAGCAAATGCACACCGATTTGCTAATGTCTCATCTTTGGTTCTGATGTGTTAGTTAATTTTATTACATAGAATTTAGGTGAAATTACACTTATTAATGTAAACCCTTTTCTGCCATGGAGTAAAAATAACTTTTTATTTCCCAATTCTCGCTTTGTTGCTTGCAAAGAAGTCAAAACTGTGAAATACAAACACAAGTATACGGGCAGACTTGTGAAGACCGACAGTTAAATCTTGAATGAACAATCTCTGAACGACAGGAGGACACATACTGTACATCTTTATGAGAATTGAAATGTGGTGTGATCTGTGACACACACACACACACACACACACACATCAAAATAATTGATGCAATATCAGATTAACTATTGATTTGCTATTAAAAATGTTTAAAAAAAACTCCATAGTAAGACTTTTTAAAAGACCAAGGGCTGAGATGAAGTACTCTCATTTTCTATAAGAGCAGGAGAGAGTTGTTTTATTCTGTGTGGTGAAGCAGGGGATATGAAAGAAGTGAGGAAGATATAAACACAAGAGAGAAAAAAAGAGAATTAGGGTTAGTGATGTCAACGGCAGACTCATCTATTGATTAATAACATTTTTCCAGACCTCACCGTCTGTGCTTTCATCCTGCTGAGCAGTTCATGTGAATATAGAGCCGTTCCTCTGAACCTACAAACAAGCCCTGACACATGCACACAACATCCACTCAGTTTGCACATAAATCATCTGCCTTAGAACACATAAATTACACATAATTTGTAATCCTTGATAATACTATCTATTCTTTAGTGTCTATTGTATTGTTGTAGGTAGAATAAAAATTAAAGCCCGTTTCCTCCACCAAAATAAAAAAGGCAATTATGACTTTTAATCTCACAATTTTGACTTTTTTCTCACAATTGTGGATGTTGTGTGTATGTGTAAGGGCTTGTTTGTAGATTTTCTGTGCATCTTTATTTATGGGGTGAATTTCATTAAACCTGTTAAGAACTGTCCAGTGGCACTAATTTCTGTCTTTATTTTATGAAATGAAATGAATAGTTTCAAGGACATTTCTTCAGATGTATTTTGTGGGACAATTTTATTCCAACACTATACCCAAGTACACACATACACACTCAGAACAACATGCTGCTCATTTGTCACAGTGTTTTAATCACTAAATGGAGTTCATTCTTGGCCCTTGAGAGACCCCTCAAATGTAACTTTCCTGGAAATTTTGTTTGTGTATGATAGGACAATTTATAGCTACTGCATTAAATATAGTGTGTGTGTGTGTGTGTGTGCGCGCGTGCATGTGTGCATGTGTTTATTATTAGTTAGAAAACAACTTGCTTCAAAAAGCATATTAATGTGTTAATCTGCATCTTTAGTTGTGGGGTGATTTTCATAAAACCTGTTAAAAGCATGTCCAGTGTCTAGTATTTTATTTTTTCATTTTATTTTCACCCCATGAATAGTTTTGCGGACCCTTCTTCAGATGGAGTTAAAAATTTTTTGGACAATTTTGTTCCAAAACTATAGCCAGGTAAACACACACACACTGGTTTCCATGTTTTATGGGAACACTCCATATGCGTAATGGTATTTATACTCAACAAACTGTATTTTCTATCCCCTTACCCTAGCGCTACCCCTAAACCTACCCCTCACACACAAATTTCTGCATTATTAGATTTTCAAAAAAACTTCATTTTGTATGATTTATATGCTTGTTTCCTCTTAGCGACCAAAAAAATGTTCCCGCAAGGTCAAAATTTACTGGTATTACTTGTATAACGTAGGGAATACCAGGTATGGACATACACGCACTGAACAACATGCTGCTCATTTGTCACAGTGTTTTAATCACTTAGTGGGTTTCATTCTTGGCCCTTGAGAGACCCCTCAAATGTAACTTTCCTGGAGATTTTGCTAGTGTATGATAGGACAATTTATAGCTACTGCATTAAATACAGGTTGTGTGTGAGTATGTGTGCATATGTTGGTTTACCATTCATCAGAAAATGACTTGTTCAGAAAAAGCAGATTAATGTGCTTGTGAAGTCTTCGTTGTAGGTAAAACTGCTTGTGTCAGGACTATCTGCCCTATTTCTCTGAGTGCATTTTTATCTTTCAAGTGCTTTTCCATTTAAATATGGTGTTTTCATTCTGGTCCAGTGATAAGAGAGGACAGGAAGTGTTGAAATGCATAAAAGTGAGTCAGACTCTACAAGAACAAGTCTAAAATCACTTAGCTAGTCAACAAATGTCACATTTCCAGCTTTATAATCTTTTTTTTTTTTTTTCTGTCTCCTTCAGCAGGCGTGGCTTTGGCAGAGAGGTGAGTCAGTTTTTTTTACATTTCCTTTGATCCGATCACTATTTCTATCACTTAGAGTTAAGATTTTGAAGAAACTCCTAATCCAACTGCTATGACATTTTTCCTGCATGGATATGAACAATACATCATCATGGCATCATGGTAGTGACTTTTGCATTGGCAGACACCTCTTAGATTTTCATTGAACATGCAAAAATCCAGTTCTGTGTAGTTGATTTAATATATAGGCCTTTTCTTTAATAAATCGAAGGTAAGAGTGCTTTGTTCCCTTGTCACTTCAGGCTGCCAATAGTGCCTCGTGAGAGGCTTACACTGGAATCTCAATGAGATGAAGAGAGCAATTGAAACTTTGCCATTAAACTTACATTTACACCCCGCTAAGGAGTGTAAATTGAAGAGTCTCGTCTTTTCTCAGTTCTGCCTGCACACATAATTTTGCAGCGAGAACATGTCACGTCAATGTCTAAGTTGCGAAGTTAATGCATATAGGTTGCATATGCATGCTGTCAAACACAA